TTGAAAAATATTATTTTTATTTTTTCAGTTTTTTAAAAGAATTTTATTTTGTAAAAACTGGAAAAACAAATTTGTAAAAACTATTTTTTTTTTGTAAAAACAGAAAAAAATCGTTTTTGAGCAGATATTGACACGTGGCGCGCGTGTACTATACACCCCACCACAAGACTGACTAAGTGTTACCAATGGGGTATTAAATTCATCCCAAACAAGAATAGGGGGGACATAGGTCGTCCGTAAAGTTAAGGTGTGTAAATGATTTTTCCGGACAAGTTTGATGAGTAATTTATGTATTATCTCTATCCACAATTCAAAAACTAAAGAAGCCACGAATACTTATTCTGATTGGAAGCAAAGAGGATCGACTAATTCATTTAGAAAAGAAGTTAGTAACCTCCTCAATGAACTCTAACACATCTTCCAAAGGAAATATAGGAGGAGAAGAAATAAGAAGGTGCTTCCAGAAATAGCAACCAGATTGGATCATCAGCTTCTCTAAAGACCTTCATGTCATGTCAAACACCTTCACTAAAACTGTTGTGCTCCATGAAGAAATAGCATAACAGAATAATCTACATCGACTCGGATGTCATAAACATGACAGCAAACCAAAAAAACCAGTAATCTCATAAACCGCATAATCAGGAAGAAATCAAGTAACAAGCAAGTTAACTAGGAATATAATGGCCATCTGAGGACAATATACCATATAGTAACTGTTACTCTACAGGTTTTGGCAGGTTTAAGCGAATATCTGATAAAAGTACAAACAGGGTTGGCCAAAGCGAGCATTACAGAAGCGACTCGACGCGAGTGGGTGGGCGCTTCAGAGAGTGTGAAGCATAGCAGGTTCATGGAAAGAGGCGTGAAGCGGACAGAAGCGCACGGTTTAATTTCATTTAAGTTTTAATTGGTCGATTTTGAAGAAAAATATATATGTTAAGAAGACTACCTTCAGAAGCTGTAACTTTGATGAATATGTAATTCGCCTCCGAAGATTAATGACGAAAGGTTGGTTTGTTTATCCGCAATTGAAAAAATCAATATCGATTGGATCCGTTGATATGCGTTTTTTCTTTCATTTGCTTAAACGATTGCCGTGAGTAAACTTATAGGAATAATTGGATTTCACTTAGTTACAAGCAAGAAATAATAATGAAGAAATGAAAATTATACAATTTTTTTGATTTTGCATTTTTATAGGGCTATACGGACTCGAACCGTAGACCTTCTCGGTAAAACAGATCAAACTTATTATTATTAAAATGATCTGAACTGTTTCAAAGACCCAACATGCATTTTTTTTTGTCATTGGGCTCTTTCATTAACTGATATAAATATCAGTTAGTCTGCCATTTTTTTTCTTGACAGAAAAAAAGATAAGGAAATGGCTCCATGTGCTCTGATTCATTATTTGGGAGCATTACCAAAGTGTTTCAAAGGTGGGATTATCTTGACGTAGGTCTGTCTCTGGCCTAGATCAACCTAAGTTAAATGAAGTCTCTATCGTTCTGCTGAAAAAATCAAATATGAAACTTCATACACCTTAAAGTTCATATGACGAAAAGAGATTTTTTTGAGGTCCTTATACTCATTATGCCTAGCATTGAATAGACTGGGTATTCACCTTATCAAGATCTCAAATCAATGATGGGGTCTGTTTGGCACCTCCTAAATGGGCGTCCAAATTGGACCGAACTCTTTGTCAGGCTATGGTTC